GAATAAAAGAAAAAAGACTGCTTTTGTCTACGACAAGAACAAAATTAAAAATTTTGCCTTTCAGGGGCAGGAGTAAACATAAAAATCTCCTGCTGGTGTGAAACACTAACCCTTAATATTCTATACATTCTTTTATTGGATCTTTAATGGGCATGTTTTTCTCAAAAATTTTCTACTTCTTGTTAAAATTAGGATAAAACCTCGTGACTCAGGTCTCTCTGCTAAGCCACGAGTAAGCTATAAAATAATAACCTTTTAACGAGTGAGGTCTCATAATATGGACAAACTATAACTGAATTAGTCATCTATGGTGACCCGCAGTTTGTTACGGGTCAAATCTTGGAGGGAGGATAAACCCTTCTGAAATATGAATAATAACATATTGTCATAGACCAAAACATTACCAAACTAGGCTAGTGCAATTAGCCTAGAAGTTAAACGCTTGATGAAGGCGTGGTAATAATCGTTTAGGAATATCCTCCCATATTTTTGCCCCACTAGCAAAGACCAATAAGCTAGCAGGGCGAAATGCAAAACCCTTTCTTTTTAGGTCTTAAAAGAGTAACAATGACCTTTTTGCGACGACAAAACTGTCGCTTTTTAGACCCGTTTAACGAAGTGTGGTCAGCGTGCGACTAACGCCTAAACTCGGATAAGTTCATTATCATTAGTCAATTTCTCATTTACCGTAAGGAGGGGGCAAAATTAACAAAAAAACCCCTGATTTAACTTTTATCCAACCTTAGAAGGATTTTCAATGGCTCAACCTCTTTCTTTACATCTTTTCACATGCTCGGCATATCTTTTAGGACGATACTTTTTATCGTATAAATCACCCAGCGGACAATGACGCGAGCAAAATCTTTTGCCGGTTGCTTTTTCATAGCCGTGCCGAGGACCGTTGATAAACTCTCCGCACTCGGCAAATTCACTACATTTAGTAGCCCGAGTTAAATCAGGCACACCACCGTTATAATAGGGCATGTGCCAATAAAAATATTCTAGTTTAGGTTCTTTTTTATTCATAACATTCTAATAATTGAGATTCTTGGGTCCTATGTAGAGTGGCTCGTAGTTCTTTGATTATCTGCTCTTTGTTTTTTACTTTATAATCTCCTACTTCTAATTTTCGAACACTGTCCAGAGAGCAGGATCAGCAGATTTTTTTATACTCGAGGGGAGTTTGGTCTCCGACAATACTCGTATTTTCAATACTTTGTATTTCTGAAATTAGTCAGATATCTTTTTCTATTTGGCACTTATTACACTCACCCCGCTTATTAGGCGGGGCTAGGGTGAGGGTGTGGGAGGGGGGTTAGTTGTCAAGTTTTATTCCTTGTAATATTCATTCTGTTCTTATTTTATTAATATCTCGTCCCACTTGCTTTGCCGTTAGGGTTTCGTGTGGTCGGGAGCGAGAGCTCTCTTTACCATGAATATTTTCAAAACAATAATCACAACAGTCTTTCATACAGGCGATACAAGTGGTAATATTTAATTTAGCACAGTTAACTAACCTTTTACACTCTCAACATCTTATTATGCCGCAACAGCCGGCTTTTCAGCCTACGGCAAGACTAGGGGTCTTTCAACCAATTTTATTCTTTGTCATCTTCTTCTACTTCAGTAGTGTCAGTTGAACTTTCTTCTACTGCCTCCGGTCCTTGTCATCAACTTTTAATCTGCTTTCAAAAAATAGCCACACCAATGGCTGCTAACCCTAATACTATTCCAGTATAAGTTATCAAAGGTTTAGCAATATTGCCTTTGCCGGGTATAAATCAAGCCTTCCAGCTGGATTTTTGTTCATCATTTTCCGGGTTTTGGGTGGTTGTTATCTCTTTTAAATCCGCGGTATAGAATTTATTATCAATAGTTAATTCTTCTATTTCTATTTTGTAGAGACTATCATTCAATTCCTCATCTTTAAGTTCGCTTTCTTTAGTCTTATTCAACTTCTTGGCAATTCTTCGTTTCATTTGGGTCTTTTGCTTGTTTTTTTCCTCTCCCGTGTCAGGTAGTTGGTTATAAGTAAAGCGGGCAATATAAGTAATAATGTCTTTGGGTTCTTTTTGGAGGAGAGATTTTAAGTTTGTGAGAGTAGCATCTGATTTTTTGATTTCCTCAATAAAGGCAGATTTAACCTTACCATCTGAACCAAAGACTTTTTTAAGCAAAGTTTCTACTTCGCTAATTTTACCATGTTTTTTTACTTGGCCTCATTTAGTTTTTCAGGTTTCAGTAATTAGAGTTTCATCTAGAGTGGAGTCTAAGGCTTTTAATTTTG